AGGATGATGCTAAGATGCCGATGTTGATTGGCGTGCCGAATGGCTTCTGCAGTCTCTACCATGCCTACAGATCCTACCAAATAAATTCCACTTCGAAACTTTGAAAGTCAAAAAAATGTTGTTTGATTTTTAGGAATTAATTTAAATAAAGTGCACAAACAAGAATTAAAAAAATTAAATTAAAATAATCATTAAATTTATTGCGAGAAAAAATTTGAAAAAATAATGCATATATTTCTCACGAAATCTCCGAAAAAATTTACTCTCTACTTTATTAAAGTAAATTTTTTTAAATATTGATGGGGTTTGCTGCTACACAGATAGTGATCATAACCATCGCGGTCGTCACCATGATGAGGTCACTGCCGCATTATCATCACGCTGACATAAAATATCATAATCCCGTCATCTTCAGGTCATCATCGCGTACTCATCATTCCCTCAGCACCGATGTTTATCAGTACATCATCATCATATCAACTGCAATACATCTTACAATACTATACATGTTTATCACTCACACCATCATGACATCATAGTGACATCATCATGACATCATCGTGACATCATCATAACATCATCAGGACATCATCTTGACATCATTACACTCTCATTGTTTTCAAATCGTCATCCCATTTTACAAAGCCAAACAAGGCATCAGCGACTGAAGAATTGTTTTGGTATCGTTACTTCATCATGACATTATCGTAATATATCCCACACCTCATCATCATAATTTTACCACCCACCCACACATTGTCATCATCATCACCCACCCACTTATCACACCCCACCACACCACACAGAACAGCAAACAAAAGCACCAACTTCTGAGATATTGTGCATGCGTTGTGACGTCAGAACGGATGGAATGATGGAGGAGTTTGAATGGGAATAATTCGCACGTAAATAAACGGATCAATCAGAGATTAACGTTAATAATGCGTAAGCGCATGAATGAGTGAATGACAAAGTGAATGAATGAATTAATGGATGAATGGATGGATGGATGTGCGGAAGATGAATGGATGACAAATGATTGATCAAGTGATGGAGAAATATTGAAAAAATCACTAATTGAAGAAGAAGTAGTAAGTAAAAGAACGAGTGAACACATCAGGAACGTGTTATTTTTTCACATGAAACCATTTTTGTTGCTAGGAACGAACCTGGATGCCTAGTAGAGCGTTGAAAGTAACCAAGAAGATTGCTAGCTACACCGTTAAAGGGTACATTCACTCGATGAAAAAAACGACTCCTTAATGTTGTTGTACACATTGTTGAAAGTACAGTTAGCATTAATGTTGTTGTACACATTGTTGAAAGTACAGTTAGCATTAATTTTGCTGTACACATTGTTGAAAGTACAGTTATCATTAATGTTGTTGTACACATTGTTGAAAGTACAGTTAGCATTAATGTTATTGTACACATTGTTTAATACCACGAGCTAACGAAGTGATTGTACACATTCTTAAATGTACAGTTATCATTAGTAACGCTAAAGTTACTGTTAAGCAATAGAGGAGTTACTCTTATTAGTAAGTAGTAATAAAAACGATGTTTGATGCTGTTTGTACAAACATCCGAACGAATTAAAAAAAAATTATCTATATAATTTTTACCATCTTTTTCTACAATTATTATGGGCGATGTTATCAGCATCATCATTGTGGTGGCTTCCACTGGCTGAGTAAGAAAACAACGCTGATTTATGGAGGTGCATTTAATAATGATGATGAAGATGAATGCTGTGGGAGTGGGGAGGGGCGGGGTGGAGTGGGTGATGATGAAGATGAATATCTAGATAATGGGTTTGGGATGAAAATGAATATCTAGACAATGAAAGTGGGGTGGGTGGATGATGATGAAAATGATTTCTTTGATGATGAGGTGGATGATGATGAAAATGATTTCTTCGATGATGATCGATGATGATGGAGATCAATATCCTGATAATGCTGAAGAAGAGAACGATGTAAAAGTGATTACGGTCATGAATCATCATCATTTTCCCTATCATCATCATCACCACCATCATCATCACCATCATCATCAGCCTCGTCATCATCACCACTACCATCATAATTATCATCATCATCATCATCATCATCATCATTTTAATACTTCATATTTATCATGTACAATAAATGTTCAAAATTTTTTTTGTACGAGCAATTTTTTAAAGAAGATTTGAATTAGTGCTCAGACGGGCAGCATGAAAGGCAGCCGAATTGATCTAATTTTCCAGCATTGTTCCCCCCATCCTTTGGATTGCAATTTTTATAATTGAATTTCGCCTGGCCTTTTATCAAATCAAATTATTTCTTTGATTTATTCAATTCAAATTTCACGAATTTTTACATTTCAAGATGAGAAAAAGTGTGTGAATTTGACGGTGGTGGTTAATTTATAATTTCAAGTTCTAGTGTTTGCCAAGAAGTTTGATTCGTTGTCGGTCCTTCAATTTATTGCGAGAATATAAACTGCCCGAAAACTCAATAAAACAAATGTTCGCATTAGAGAAAATTTGTTTGAAAATAACAAACCGGTGATGAAGATGATGACGATGAGGATGGTGGTGGAGAAGAAAATGATGATGATGAGGATGAAGAGGAAGATGATGATGATAAGGATGAAGATGATGATAATAGTGATGGTGGAGATGATGATAATGATGATGAATAATGGGATGAGAATAATGACCAGGAAGATCAGATAGTGGAACGTTTGATTGCTGAACAAGTTATTTTATTTTTATTATAAATAAAATATTTCTAAATGTAAGTACCAAAATTTTTGTCTGTTCTAAATTTTCACTTCCTTTGAATCTGGTAGCCGCGCCGAACTTGGATCACCTTGCAGTCATACAACGCTTCTACCAACTGAGCTATGACTGCCGCTTCGTGTTAAAATGTTGTAAATAAATGTTAGTGGAATCTAATAAACTGTAAAGTTATTCTTTTAATTTTTTTAATTTAGTTTTTCAATTTGTTGTTCTAACTCACGGTTATTTATTTTATTATTTCCCTTNTCTCTCATAAATATCTGTCGAGATTGCCAGCCAAAACAACTCACATTAACGCTTGATTAATGACGTCTTCAAAAAAAACCTTCATCACTTATTAATCAGCCTCAATAGAGAACATGTACATGCAATCAGATTGGTGTCACCACAACAACAACAACAACAACAACAACAACGGCATCAACAATATCAACAACGACATCAACAACAGCAAAGACAACAACAACTTAAAAACAAGCAACATTGCTGACATGCATATCAACAACAACGGCGAAATTGACAACAACAACATCTGCAACAACATTATCAACAACAATTTTAAACAGGAAACAAAAGCAAACAACAACAACAATATCAACAACAACAACAACGTAACAAACAGAAACACGAAAATGCACGACATAGTAAGCAGAAGGAAAAGATTTAATAAATTTGTAACAACGAAAGATAACAATGATTATTTTGTCTACAATAATAAAGACCACAGCAACAACAGCAGCAACAACAACAAAATCAACAACAACAACAGTAACAACACCAGCAACAACAACAACATCAACAACAACAACAACAACATCATCAACAACAGTATCAACAACAACAACCATGTCAGATCTAATAATCTTGGCCTGAACATTCATTTTCACAGCAATCACAAAGCCGCATTAAACAATGTCCACAAAAACATCCGCGAAGAGAGAAGCAAACAAAAAAAGAACATAAAGAACAATTGCATGACACACAGTGGCAACCACACAAACCTAAGCAACTGTTTCATAAACCAACACATCAACTACAACGACAACATAAA